TACCGGAAGCCAAGAAAGACAAGAGACCCATGAGAACCACATTAATCCCTTCTAATCATACAGTTCCAACGGCTTCTTAGATCCCACCTCTTAAAGGTCCCATCACCATCACCCTGAGGACCCAATTCACAGCAATAAACAATAAACCATATCTAAACCACCCCAACAGCCAGACTAGAAAAACCACAGCAGTTGAGAGCTGAGTAGAATGGGACCCTGTCTTTCCATGCAACACCAGAGTTGAACAGGCTCCCACAGGTCTGTCCTCTATCTATGCTGCGAATTTTTCACCACTGCAGTCAAAATGCATAATGATGATTTTATTTATGACAGGAGACATGTTTTAAAACAGTTGTTTTAAAACAACTGACAGAGCTGCAAGATGGGAAACGACAAGAAAGTGCGATTTTTTTTTTTGAGAGGGGAGGGGCATGGGATGCTGGCACAGAAGAGCAGGGTTTTCCTTATTGAAGTTGGAATTCATCCTTTATTCCTTGAGCAGATAAAGAAAATCATCCAGGAAGGAAGCAGGGGTGAGGGTACTGCATAATGACAGTTTTCAGAGGCTTGAGCAATTAGCTGCTGGCTTGCTTGAACTGCCTCTTGTTGGGACCTTTTAAAGGGGAGAACACAGTACTTTGAGAGTGTAGGGCAGCATGGGGGTCTCGTGTGTGTGTGTGTGTGTGTGTGTGTGTGTGTGTGTGTGTGAGTGTGTGTGTGTGTGAAGCCCAGCCTCATTTCTCCAAGTGAATGCAGGCGTCAGTTCTGGAGAATTCTGGGAACTTTAGATCTGCCTTCCACATGATGCTTCCCAGACTAGGCCAAGAACGCAAGACAGACACCCTCAGGATGGCAGGGGAACAGTAAACAGATGGCTCATTGAGGACCCTGTGTGCTAGGGAAGAGAAATATAGCCTTTTCAGACCGTGCTTAAAGAAAAATAGCTTTCCTAGGGCCAACCAATGGGAGTTGCTTTCTCCCCATAGCCTTTCTTCCCTGAACGTCTGAGGGGAAATTAGAGGAGCTCTTCCTGTTTACCTCTGCAGGAGTGAAGAATAGCAAGTATCAAGAATGAACTCAGGAAAAAAAAAAAAAAAGCTAATGCCTCCATGATGATGATAAAATAAATAAGTAAATAAAAAAATTCCTAGAGAGGGTGATAGGACCCAGGGTTAGGGGAGGAATTTGAGAGACCACTGCTACGTAGCACCTCTACCAGAACTCTGTTTCTTGTGGGCTTCGATGCGCAGGAAGCTGCTTCTCCACGGAAGATCTCAGCTGTTTCTCTCCTGGTCTGTGGTGTGATCAGGTTGACCCAGGGCACACTCGCCTAATTGGACTAGTTCATCTCGTCCCAGAAGAGCCACAATTCGGCCTTGGGTGGCAAAGGCAGTAGTAGTTACACAGTGTGCTTTGGGAACCAAGCTTGGTGACCTCGGTTCAGACCAGGGCAGCATGGGTAATTCAAGCAGTTGGCTGGTTTCTTCCTTGCGGACACAAACTCAGACCTTATAGCACACCCTCCCCCATTTCTCTCTGCAAGCAAAGCAGGAGATTCATTTCTTATACCCCAGCACTTTGTGCCAAGTAGGAGCGTGTTAATATTCCCCACCCACCCCCTTGTGAATTGGATTACTTAACACATCTTTTTGGAGATGTCAGCAGTTTAATAGAGGCAATAAGTCAGGGCTGCCCTTGTGTTTTATTTTTCTGCCAGTATTTAGTTAATTAAAGAATGCAAATTAAAACACCTTAATTTATATAATATCAATATCAACGCCCTAAAACATTTGGCATAACTGTGCTGGCACGTCCCTTACATAAACTCTTTGGAGCGCTACTAATAAAAGTGAAAAGGGTTGTAAATCAAGTTCAATTTATTCATTTTTGTTTGGTATGAAAGCATATGCCAAAATTGGGTTATTTATGAGTGTGTAATAACAATAGGTATTTTTTAAAAACCAGTTACAAATGATGAAAAATGTTTCCAGAGGGATATGGGTTTTAATTTCAAATTATCTCAAAGTACATCTGGGCTCTGATCTCTAAAATTTGTATTTTTGCTTTCCCATCTACAGTTAGATATTGAAAAACATATCCAACTTAAAAACATAGCCCCTTCCACCCAGAAAGTCACCTGCAACCGTTTGCGGAGATAGAAACATGCACAACACATCCTGTGGTATAGGAACTGCAGGTAACATAAAAAGGGCTGCTGATACATATCTGACTTCTCAAATATTCCATTAAGAGATTACCTCACAGAGGGCTCACATTTAAACAGCATCAGAAGGGATTTGGTGTGTGGTTGCTTTCTTGGGAGCCATAGAGATGAACTACGTTATATGAATGAAGTGCCAAATATTCGCTTTTCCTGTTTCCCTCTTTGGCTGATATTGCTTGCTTTGTATTGTGGAGCTGAGCCTGGGGCCTTTTGTTCAGCCCCAGAAGAGCAGTAGTCTCTTCCTAGGTACCAAGTGGTGGCATGCTTCCCCTCTTTCCTTTGACAAAGCTCCCTCGTACAGCTGTCTCTAGGGGCTTCCTCATGTCACCTTCAGTTTTACCTTTACGCAACAGACTTTTCTCTTGTCCTCATCTTGCCCTCACCCCATTTTTTTCTGTCTGACTAGGCACTATTTGCAAGCCCCTAGCCCCAGAGCAGTGGTGTCCACCTTGGCAACACATTCAAGACTTTCCTTGACTCTGACCATTGCCCAGTTGTATAAGACAAACAACCGATGTGTTCTACCAAAACAAGTGATATTAGGTTTCCCTGGCCTACACCTGACAATGATGTCATTGTGGGTTTTGCCTTTATGAGTACTGTGCCCTTGAGTTTAGGTACCAAGAATTCTTTAGGGCAAACCCTCTCTCTGTACTGGCTAATAAAGGCCTCTAGTTGGACCACATGTGCACAGTGGTCTGTAAAATTATCCTCTGTGCTATAACAATGGGAAGAAGTTTTAGAAAGAAACTTGCCCACCTAGAAATTCCCCACCAGATCCTGACTGACCCAGACAAAATTACTGTGGCCCTCCAGCGTCCACACAGACAAGCCTGAGGAACAAATGGACTTTCTGTATTTTTATCACACTTAACTCCCAGGGCTCTCAGTGGTCGGACGAAGGAGCCCAAGAGTGTGCTGTGGTCACGGAGACATGCTAGGCCATTCCACAGGAGTGTATACATGTGTGCTCCACATTACCTTGTGATGCTGTGGGCACAGCTCCATTTCTTCCCTTGATGCTTGTCATCCTTAAAAGCTGATCTTTATATTTATTTATATCCCCCCACCTCCATAAAAGATTTGAGGTTGCTTATGATTCAAAATGCAGATACTGTAAAATCTGAAGCCATTAACAGAAAAGTGAAAAGATCAGAGCCAAGTACAAAGGAGGAGGGGGGATGGAGAAGGAGAGTAATTATACCAGAGGGGGGAAAACTTAGATTAAAGAAAGCTAATGCAATTGAGAACAAAACGCAGCTCTGAACTCCCTGGTAGCTTGGTGGGCGGCTGCCAGCTCTTAAAATAACTATAGATTATTGCACCTCAAAAGCAGGTTTAGATGTCTACTGAGAACTCACTGGCTATGGGAGCTTGGTCAAATCACTTCGTCTCTCCCGGTTTCTGTTTCCTCATCGGTAAAAGGAGGATTATCCCACTCGTCATAGTGCTCTGGAGAGAATGAGGTTAAAGGCCACGAACGACAATGAGAGCAGTAGCAAGAGCAATACCTCCACAGCACACGTTGTATGCTATAGTTCTGAGTATTTTACCTGACTATCATTCATCAATTCTGAGGTGGCTATTTCAAATTCTAGCATTTCTGACACTGATTGAATGAAAACCTAGTAGTGCAGATTATTTGACAGCATTTTTCCTTCTTGTTGGATCTAAAATAACAGTGCATTGTGGGATAGACGAAGGAGGTTATTCACGTACTCAGGCATCACAGGAACTTTACAAAGTAGGTGTTGGTGTTGTCCCATTTGAGAGGTAAGAAGACTGAAGCATAGCAAATATAAATGGCTCCTCTGAGGGCCGTGGCTGCAAGCAGCAGAGCTTTTTGACTCTACAGCTACTCTTATTGCTCTTTCAGTCAATTATTTCAGCAACGGAACACTGCAACCAAATTTTCTCTGTTGGGACAAAGGGGAATGTAGTGGAAAGGTGAGTGCTTATCCCAGGGTCAGGCTTTTCATTGAGAGTACCACGTCATCATCTCAGGGTGTTGAGTGTATCAGTGTATCACGTCATGGGGCAGAGAAGGGAAAGATGATTCATTACTCCCGGCTTTCAGCTTTCGCCCGAGAGCTTAGCCCTGGGTAGGAAATGCCCTTCCAGCAGGTCAGAGAGAGGTACATGATTGCCTGGCTCCGTGTCTTGTCTCCTGCTTAGGATTTCAGATGAACAACCCTTGCACAGGTTCTCTGCCCGGGGTCATTTATCATACAGATGGCAGAGGAAGGGGGCGGGTAGGTGCTCTCAGGCAAGGTTGGAAAGTTACCTCTAAGGCAGAGACAAAGGAAGAGGCTTGGCCTTCTAAAGGCCCCCTGCACACAAGCTGGAACAGGAGAGAGACAGGAAGACCTGCAGAGGGAGAAAAGTGGAAAGGAACTGGACAAACCACCATCTGAAGTAAGGAAATACAGCTCCAAAAGGATTGGGATGGGTTCGGGTGTAGCTCAGTGGCAGAGCACTTGCTTAGCACACACCCGAAGAAGCCCTCAAAGAAAGAGAAAATAGTCTTCCCATGAAAGTGGAGTGGAAGGGGGCGGGCAACCTGGAGGTAGGATACCTGAGTTTGAGACCCAGTTGTACAGCTTAGGAGCAAATTACCCACCTAGTCTCAGTTTCCTCATTTAGCTAATGGGCATCATAAAATCCCAGTGACTTACCTGTTAAAAGATCAATTAAGATAATAGATGTGAAAGCACTTTCCAAATGAAGTAATGCTATGTAAACGCCAGTTGTTATCATTGTCTTTCTTTCTAGGCAAGTACCTGCTTTGTGAGCCTGGACAAGTCCCTACAGGGGAACAGAGAAGAACACTGGTTATGGGACTTGCCCAGTTACAGGGGCCGTCCACAGAGGAGTGTGTCTTAGAGCTCAAACCTCCGCCTGGCTGGCATCTCACTTGTTCCTGGCTGACCCGGTGAAAAGGTTGGTGTTGCCCCAGAAGGTCCCCTTTTTCCGGGTTCTCAGGTTCTGCCCTGCAGTGGGGTCTACAAGCTGACTGGGTAGGAGGGCCTCTCCTCTGACAATAAAGCAAGTTTAGCAGCCAATAAATCAGGACTTCATAAACCATACCAAACCCAATCACTCCAAGGCAAACATATTCTCACAACATTTCCCTGACAGGTTAGCTCTAAGATGTTAACCTGAGTAAAAGTTTACATTACTTGAATGCTCTTCTACACAAAATGAGAACAGGGACAGTAATTCCACAAGCCTGTCTCCCAACACCTACAGTGGATGCCCGAGACTTCAGATTCTACACATAAATATCTGTATTAGGGTTTAATATAAACTAGGCACATAAGAGATGAACAACCATGAATAATGAAACTGCAATAATATATAGTAACAAATGCTGTTTAAAACTAACGAATTGTTTATTTCTAGAATTATCCATTTAATGCTTGTAGACAGAGGTTTTCCACAGGTAAGGAATGAGGGAGAGGACTGCCTACAGGAAGCAGGCAGTGTTGCCTACAGGAAGAAAGGGTTCTCGGTGGAGGGCTGGTCTTGGCATTTAAGACCCTCTGGTCTGAAGGGCCTAGCAGCCTGCAGCCTGCAGCCTGAGAACTGAAAGCGCATGTTCAAGAGGAGGGCACTGGTGTTAGCAGGGCCAGGAGAAGTGGGCCCCACCTTTTCTGGCCTTCCCTCTGAAGGAGGAGAAGGAAGGAGGAAGTGGGAGGAGAAGGAGGAGGGGAAGGAAGGACCCTGGGAAGCTTAAAGAAAAAAAGAAGTGCTTAATAAGACGGAGGAAGTAGGGGAAGAAGGAGAAAGCTGTGGAACACAGCCTCCCTTGGCAACGACGGGAGAACAAAGTAGCCATTTGCACACGGAGGGTGCCCCCGGAGGGACCTTTCCTTAGACGGACACACATCACCCACTCTTCTACGTCGCTAGCCTTTCTGGGAGACGCCGGGCCTTCCGAGCAGGGCCTGCCTTCTCTGGCAGCAGACAAAAGGCCATTTCTGAGTTACACAGAAAATGTGTTACTTTGCCAGAGGGTCGGGTTAGGGCTGCCCGGGCCAATCCTGGCCCAGCATAGCGCTGGCGGAGGGGGCCTGTCAGTCACTAGGAGCCCGGCGTGAAAGGGGCCCCTTGTCAACTTCCCTTGCCTTTGAAGTGACTGGGATGGAGGTGCTCAATTAAAAGCCCATCAGTCTGTAAGTAAATCAACGCCTATCAGGCTTGTCACATCAAACAAACGATTATTACCCCAGCCCGCCCACCCCATTAATCTGGCTGTTCCCTCTTGACGGCTCAGGGTCAGGGCGGTGTAAATCCTGTACTGGATTCCAGCCACCTGGATCGGGATGAAAGCGTTGGTGCAACACACCAGGCTCTCAGGCATTTCCCAGGGCCCCTGGAGGGAGGGCAGAGGAGACACAAGGGGTGGTGACAGAAGACTCTCCAAAAGACAGGGCCATGGGAAGAGACACAAGAAACCAGGGAAAGAGAGAGAGATAGAAAAGGGATACTACAGTAAGAGATGGCAGGTGTAGTGAAAACCCGACTCCTAACAGTGGACACCTACACACACATTTCCGGAAGACAATGTGTTCTGGGTGAAATTCTTAGACCCCAGGTTCTGATTCTAGAGTCAGACAGTAGATTCAAGATCAGGTCATTTTCTTCACTTCTCCTCAAGTGTCACTTGGTCAAGGGAATGAAAGATGGTGGAGAGGGTACAGGAAAGAGGTCAAAGTGCTGCTCTTCCACTCCCTGTGTCTCAGGCATCAGAACTGGCACAGGCCGAACCCAAGGTGGTATGAACAGGACACGTAAGATCAGCGGTTCTCAATTTTCTTAATGCTGCGACTCTTTAATACAGTTCCTTGTGTTGTTTTGACCCCCAACCATCACATTATTTCGTTACTACTTCATAGCTGTAATTCTGCTACTGTTATGAATCATAATATAAATATCTGATATGCAGAACATCTGATATGTGACCCATGTGAAAAGGTTCAAAGGGGTCAAGACTCACAGATTGAGAACTACTGCGTTAGACTCTAGCCACAAGTTCAGACAGTCTGCTGAGTCCCTAAGAAAACAGTTACTCTTGCAAAGTTCTCTGAGATTCTCTGCTGGTTTGTGGTTTCTTTCTGCACCTGGGATCAAGCTCTTGGCTTTCCCCACTGCAGACTAAAGAAAACTGTGGGTAGGGAGAAAGGGACACATAGAGTTTGAAAGACGGGCAAGTGGTAAAGGGGGTGTTGTGAGGGAGGAACTCAACCATATTGCCTACAAAGACAAGGCAGGCTTACTGGGGAAGGAAGCTCCCAGTCCCTTTCAAAAAAAGTTGCTGCAGAGATGCCCCACTGACCTGTGATAGTTCCATTTAAAAATGGCAGTCACTTGCTTGTCCACTTCTAGGAGAGTAATTCCTTAAAGAAAATGAGACTAGAACTGAAGCAGAGGACCCATGAAGGGAAGCTTTTGGACTCATTGGAGCAGGGAGCTCTGCTCGCCCAACCTTGCAGATTGTATTCAATTCTTACTACACAAAGGGCGAAAACATTTTTGTTCCTATTTCCTTCTGGGGATGGTAAGAATTGCTCATGGCAAATCCTGCAGACAGACTGCATCGGCCAGCTTGCTGCTGCTATGACAAAACAGCTCGGGCAATCAACTTGTAAGGAGAAAAGATTCACTTGGCTCATAGTTTCAGAGGTTTCTGCTGATAGTCATGGGCCTTATTGTTCGGGGGTTTGTGACAAAGCAAATCATGAGCCATGGTGACTATGAAGCAAATAAAGGGAGGGGAGGTACCAGTCTTAACAGATCCTTCAAGAGCATGCTCTCAGTGACTTAATTTCCTTCTACCAGGCCCCATCCGAAAGATTCTGACACTTTCAAAGAGTGCCATGGCAGGTGGCCAAGCCTTTGTACAAGGACCTTTGTAAGGGATTTAAAATCCAAGTCACAACACAGGCCACCATCCCAACTGTGTGTGTGGGCTTTCTCTCAAATGTTCTGTAAGGAGCCAGTTACCCATCCTGCCAATGTGAACTAATTTGTCCTGTCATCAAGACCCAGCAGTGCACAGTGCCTTTGTTATCTATGCTGATAGACATGTTGAGGCTTTTCCCAGAGGTGAGGATGAATCAAGTGTCAGTACAGTGTGATTCTGTGCATTGTTCCCTAAGTATCTGCCCCGCTGTGCCTCTTGTGAGGGACACAGTTCCCACATCATCTAACAGGAATTTTATACTTGGTGGATGCTTATAACCTGCAGGTCCCTTCCTAAATCTTTGGAATACAGCAGTGAATATGATGTATGGGAATCTTTACAAAGAACCCATGTGTTTTACTCTTCTTTGATGAGTGTGCACTCATTAGGCAGATATTTGCAAAACATCTCCATGTCTAAGTTACTTGCATCAGGAGTCAAAGAAGAATTGGAAAGGCATTCTGTTCTCTTGGAAGAAAGTCACTTCTGTGCAATATTTAACTATGGAAAGGCGTGTTACATTTGTTTATGCAGTGACTATTTAACTGTGTGAAGGTGTGTTACATCTGTTTATACTGTATTTGTTTAATTGTGTGAAGATGTGCTGCTGTTTCACCTTGCCTGCCTAAGGCACCTGATTGTTCTAATAAAAAGCTGACTGGATAAAAGCTAGGCAGGAGAGGGATAGGCAGGGCTAGCAGGTAGAGAGAAGAAATAGAAGAGGAGAGAAGGAGAATGAGAGAGAAGAGAGAATGAGGGAGAAAGAAGGAGACACCTGAGCCAGTCAGCTAGGCAGCTGCCAGGCTGGAAAAGCCAGAAAGTAGGACATACAGAAAGAAAGGTATTCCCCCCTCCCCCGGCAAAATGTAGATGAAGAGAAACAGGTTAATTTAAGTTATAGGAGCTAGTGGGGGCAAGCATAAGATAAGGCTGAGCAGTCATAGCTAATGTGAAGTCTCCATGTTTTTATTTGGGAGCTGGTTGGTGGATCAAAAGAAAGCCTGCTACAAGTCACAGCTAATGAAATCTAACTTGGTGCATTGAGTGGTAGGCACTATATCCCGGGAAAAGATGAGAGTGAGAGAGTTCAGAGAGAAGATAATTTATTCAGGTTCTTCTTAGTGAAGGTCTAGAATTAAGCACAGTATTTGCCATTGGATCATGTCAGGTTTTTAATATGCTCCATAATGTAGTACCTTGTGGGCTTAATGCCTGTTGTTACTGGCTGTAATGACAATATAATTCATTGCCATTGTAATCACAGCCACATCACAATACCCTTCTCTATCAAGCAGGTGTGTTTAACACCAGGAACTCTATTCCAGCTCTCCCCAGAGGTGCAGACATTCAAGTTGTGTTCCTTATGAGAAGGAGAGTGGGGCAGAGGCTGCAATTCAAAACCAGGCTGCAAATGCTGGCTCTACTGCTTGCCTGCTGTGAGGCCATGGGCAAATCACTTGAACTCCCTGTGTGTGTTTCCCCATCTGTTAAATTGGGGTGATAACAGCCCTGGCCTCATAGGGTTATATGACAATTAAATGCATGTAAATCATTTACAACTACAGATAGTATGTATTCAACAATGCTCATTAGGCTTACTGCTGTACCTCAAAGCGGTCTCTTGAAGGGGAAATGCTAAGAAGTCACAAACAAATGAATGTGTCCTCTTGTATGTTAGCATCAGTGAATCATTTACATTAATTTTATTTAAAAATTCTTTGTTTCTATGTGTATAGATGTTTTGCCTGAATGTACATCTGTGTACCATGTGTGTGCCTGGTGCTCATGGCCAGAACAGGACATCAGATATTCTAGAACTGGAGTCCCATATAAACATATGTATACAAGAATTATAAGCCAAGATCAGTGTATGAAAGTGAATATGTGGTGTTGCTGAGCTTGGGAAACCTCACTTAATGCAAAAATTTTCAATTCTATTGATTTTTCTTGCAAATCTCATTTTTTTCTTTGTGGT